ATATATATATATATATATCTATTTAAAATTCGACAAAACTGTCTAAGAGGAAACCTTGGGCCTAGGGCCCAACACAAACGTGGGAACCTCTTGACATAAAATACAATCACTGTATACAATATACATTTTATGTCAAAAATGGCGATGTTTCACTGCGCAAAAACAGAAAATTGTGAAAATCAGTTACTTCTAATTGAAATGCGTTTGCATCTGAATTGAAACACATGCGTGATAATGGTTCAGTTGAAAATTGTTGTCGTAAAAATAGTTTTTCTACATGTAAGGTGAAACAAAACACAAAGCAAAGTTACTTACCGCCCATACTCCACAGGCCGGGCCTATAAGTAGCCATACATGTTGATTGTTTACAAAACATCTAATGAAAAAACACATTTCAACCCATTGCCTTATTCAAAATTTTGGTACTAACTCTAATGCCTATTGCCTTAATAGCTAGCTGTGTAAAGATGTGCTATGTCAGTTTATGAAATATCGTTGTTGGTGACTATGGTTAAACAATGTGATCGACTTTCTTATTTCGGTTTACTTTTTCCACCAAGCCGACTGTCTGATATATGTGTATGTTTCGACAATGGATTGTGGCCGTTTACCATTCAGTTGAAATGCACGTGAGGTATTTCTATTCTTTAATTTTGATTCACATGATTGTTGGTTTAAGCCTACTTATACTAGTCAAACCTCTCATTTCGTTAACTTTAAAAGCATTAATTTAGTGCCAGTCACGTGCCTCTGGGTAGGCCTAGTCCTGTTAGTACTCTGTTTTAAACATTCCTAAAACGGGAGTTGGATTATATGATTTGTTCTACTGCAAGTGTACGAACCATAATATAAATGGGCTTTAGGAAATCAAATGCCGTGATTCGGCGATTGTCAATATTCAGATAAGTAGGACAGTTCCTGTGAGATACTAAATATATTATTACTGTATGTGATGTTTCAACCCGTTGTCAACAAGTCTTCATTAGACGCCTATATCATAGAAATCAGAAGAAATCGGTTAAACTATGTTTTATTATGTTCTAACCCCTGATCGTATCAATAATTACTGTTTGAAATGCAAAGGACCTACAACATTCATCAGTGATCTGTGAGTAATCTGTCAGCGTACATTTAAAGATGAGAAAATTATAGACCAATAATTATAAACAAATTCTATGTTTTGCATGCATATGCAGATTGTGTCATTAATAAGTTTGCTTTCTAGTGTTAGTGTATTATGGTTGTTTCATTACGATTAAATATTTGTGTTTGCGTTAATTAGCGCTTTTAATTTTTGTGTGATCAACAGAAGGTTCTCAATGTTTATACAGTAAGTTGACCAATCATGGCTCTACATGTCAATTAGTCTGAAATGAACACAATTCAAAGAAAGTGTATGACGTTGATATTTTATTTTTACCACGGTAATATAGTACATTGTCATTGTATTTCCAATATTACTATTTTTCGCAAATACTCCTTTATCAAAATACGTTTAAATATCCGAGTCGATGACCTACATTAAAGAGTACGGAATAGCAAGCGGTCCGACTATCGAGGTTTCCTTGAAACACACAAAAAATTATAGACCAATAATTATAAACAAATTCTATGTTTTGCACGCATATGCAGATTGTGTCATTAATAAGTTTGTTTTCTAGTGTTAGTGTATTATGGTTGTTTCATTACGATTAAATATTTGTGTTTGCGTTAATTAGCGCTTTTAATTCTTGTGTGATCAACAGAAGGTTCTCAATGTTTATACAGTAAGTTGACCAATCATGGCTCTACATGTCAATTAGTCTGAAATGAACACAATTCAAAGAAAGTGTATGACGTTGATATTTTATTTTTACCAGGTAATACAGTACATTGCCATTGTATTTCCAATATTACTATTTTTCGCAAATACTCCTTTATCAATACGTTTAATTATCCGAGTCGATGACCTACATTAAAGACTACGGAATAGCAAGCGGTCCGACTATCGAGGTTTCCTTGAAACACAATCCTAACTCAAAAAGTACTACCACGAACTAGAAGGCGTCCTTCACACAAACGTAAAAAGCCTTCGTATCAAACGAACAGACACAAACTTCACTTTCGACGAAAACAACGTTTTGGGGAGTGGATTACTTCACAAATCCATAAATTTCACTATCAAGATAACGAAAGATTTTTTTTTTCTTACACATGTTTAAAGATAAAGAATTAAATAATATAATGTTCAATGCACTTTTCATTTCTGAATGTCAAAGGAAAAAAAATGGAAAAAATATCATTATTGAAGTTTGTATGTCTTCGTGGTGTCGGTGACGGAATGTTTGAGTTTCGAACTGTAATAGGGCGCCCCCTATCTCGTAGACTTCGCGCTTACGTTTCATTGCGTGCATACAAAATCAAAACAGTCGGACCTCTTGTTATTCACACTCTTTGATTCAGTGTATTAGCTAATGTCTAAACTGGAATCTTCTTTCTCAGTATTTTATTTATTCTAATAAATGTTTTATTTAATTGCCTGACTCATTACAATATTATACTTATTGTTTTAGTCTGGCTAAAATGAGATTTTTGTCTTATCTCTTCGGGTCATTGCCGACGCATTTATTTTTTAATATTCAAAATATTAGATGAATATTCATATTTTGTTTGTAAATTTTGAAAAGATGCAAATCAATATTACTTGAATGGAATTAATACAAACACATCATGAATGCTTTACTCAATATTTTACTCATTGTTCTGTCCAATGTCATTGTCCAAGTCTTTTTGTACTTGTTGATAGAATCCCATTTAAGTAGGCCCTACAGCATTACGTATTATCTGAATTGCCTCATTGGCTTTGTTACTTATAGTCTTAATCATTGCAACTAATTGCTTTATGTTAATAATAACTGATTTGTACTTACACTTCTTCACTAAAATAGTTGTTATTCCAGTTAGAACCAAGAAGAGCACCGACAAGAACTGCTGGAAAACCTGTAGAAATACAGTGTTATAGATTATATGTAAGATTTTTACAATATCGATAACAATTAACAATTCTCTCTCATCATAACACAACCATCCTCATTAACAAAAACCCACACGCTTCTCGCACTAAAAAACAAGACTAATGTAAACAAAACCAACGCCATTATTCCTATCAATAAAGTAAATCCCATCTCATGTATAACATCAACACCACCTATCTCCTTTAAAAACTCCGGACTTTTAGAAAAACACGTGATGATTTCCGTTTTGGGAGCAATTGAATAAAGAATAGCAATGAATGACAATAATTGTACCTTACCCCATCCTATTATATAGTATCTAAGCATAGGGCGCTGTTGCTGTGTATCGGCGTGTATCGAATTTATTACTTCTACATAAAGATTGAAAGCCTCGTTACATATCCAACAAAACGTAGCGGAGAAGAAGTAATGGATCGCGATTGTTAATAGCTGGCACACTATCTATAGAAAATCAGACAAATTACACAATGTTATATATAATTTTCTATTATTCTGTCGGAACACACGTGGAACACAAATGATATATATATATATACAGTATATATATATATATATATATATATAAGATGTGTATATATATATAATTATAATATTTTATTTTAGAGTGATAATAACAGTAGTAGTAGTAGTAATAACAATAATAATAATATTAATAATTACAATAATAAAGATGATTACAATAATATAGTTATCGTGGTGTAGTAATAATAACAATGATAATGAAAATGATTACGATAATAATGATGATGATGGTGTCAGCGGTAATATCGACAATTATAATTAATAAGACAATGTAATACTGATTATGATAATTATAATAATTAGAGTACTAAAAATAATACTATATAAATAATAGTAATGAAGATGATGATGAAAGTAATGACGACGATAATGATAATGATGACGATAGCAACTACCATAATGATGATGTTAATGGTGGTGGTGAGGATGATGATGTCGATAATGATAAAAAAAAAATAAGTCTTCAATAAGTTAACTTTATTAAAATAACCGTACCTCAACCTCTTTTCGGTTAACTCCGATCAAGAATAAAAAATGCAAAGAAAACATAGATACTGCTAGATTCCTGTGAACTGCTACCGTATCTGTATTGCACCTGAAGATATATAAAAGAAAACACAGTAAATTTGTTATTAAATTAGATAATTCACAGTTTATATTTAGTCCAAATAATAATGTAAAAGACAAAAATAATTATAGATGTTGTTACAATATTTCAGTCTCATAATGGAGAACACGATGCATGTTGATAAGGTATGACCTCTGGTATTAATTGATATTAATTTTTTGATCGAAATACTCTCAGTATAAAGATATGTTTGGAGTGAGCCTCCATTATAGTCATTGCTTGGCGAAAGCACAAATGGGGTCAAGTTTCTAATTATATCAGTATTCTAAATAATTCAACTATTGTAAAGTTTAGTACATTGATTAGAAACGGGAAGATGGATAGTAAAACTTGATTAGTATTTTGAAAGAAAGCTGACAGAGTTAAGCACAATGAGGGTAAGTTAACTTTTAGTATCATTTAGAGGGGAAAAGGGGATTTATTATAGTTATGGTGTTTGGTAAAGCGTATATTATTTGTTTAAGATCATTCCATGGATTGTCTTGTAAATTCATTATTGTATTTTTGAGTTACGGACATACATTTTTTACTGTGTAGCTTGTATGTACATGTACCTATAAATAAACAAACACAAATTAATAGATAAAATTTTGAATATGCATTATGTTCCATGTTCCCATTTACTACAACTTACAAGATATTGTATTTTAGTTGTATAAATAAGAATGTAAACGCCACCAATCGGCAGAACAGGCTAATAAAGTATTCGAGGGCGCTATACAGTACATGCGATAAATAGAAAGTACTGTAATGGCATAGAAAACTTACCTAAGTTTGATATATAGCACCAGTGAAGCTCCAGACAAAATTAGGTTGACCAATATTCCTATATAGGCGGCAGCGGTAATTGTAAAACGTGGCTCACCTTCAGGACGCCACTAAAATTAAGTAATATGAATGATAAATGCCTACGATTGTTTAATTTTAATTCATTTCTATTTATGTCATAAATGACATCCACCATCCTGAATTTCTTAACTTTTACACAGTTAAAACATTTCAATACATAAAACTCAATCTAACCATATTTAATAATAGTATAAAAGTATATTTCCAGAAAATGTAAGATGCATTTATGTATTTATTTAGTCTATCCACTTATTTGGACGCCCAAATGTGATATAAACTTCGCATATGATAATGGTTATTAATTATATTTATGATACAGATTAAAGAGAAAAGTAGTTCCTGTTTAGAGTACAACTCAGCATGAATCCTAGCAGTAGCTCCAATTATGTTTTATATTATTGATATAACCACATTGTAAACAAATGAGATTTACTGTTGTAGCTGTCACGCGGTGCACTAAAACAGTAGAAATACACATATAAATAAATTTAGGGACAAATTATCATGACATGATACGTATTCAAGAGTAGTTCTAGTTAATAACAGCATGAATCATAGCATATGTGGAGCTAACCAGATCATTAGAATTACCGCCAGGCACTATATAATATTTAACCACCTAGAAATAATAGGTCAAAATTTTTCGTTATTTTTGGTTCAAACCTAGGATTTTTCAATACAAATAATAAAATGCAATATAGAAAATGTATTGAAACTTCCATATACCGTTAACTACTACATTGTACAAAAGTATATCAGTAAACGTCTGACGATACGCCACGATAGCAAAATACAAATAATACAATTAGTAAAATGCAAAAATTACAATTTCGTACGAATAAATAATTACGATATGCCTACTTTTTGGTATGTAACACGAATAATAACAATTATTTATCGAGAATCTATCTCCGATATATGTTTTGGTTAGAGATTAAAGTAATAGGCCTATGTTATAGGCCTATAATACTTACGTTAACATCATACATATCTGTCGTGATGGCGTATATTCCTGGCTTCGTACATTTACATTTGGCGCCAACGTTGGTGGCTGTCACATCACATTCAGCCTGGACAACCCATTTCCAATCATCAACACTGGTGAATATAAGCAACAACAACAACATAATATCCGCAAGATTCATGGTTCAGTTTATATTTTTAATGAACCATGATTTATTTAAACTATTAATTTGTTTAGAATTCTCAAAATGTGGGCGTATCACATTAACTCTTACTTGTAACGCATCAAAACTAGCGCTGTTCCACTTGGCATGTGCAAAAGAGTTTAGAAGGTCGTTTGCCTTCAGTTCGATTAATCGCTAATTGCTTATGTATATATAGGGCACATTGTGATACTCACCCATTACTATCGTCCAATGAAACACATGCTGGGTTTGAGACGTTAAAGTCCTGAAAACATACATTTTATTTTATTATTATGTCAATGCTTCAGTGAAATAGATATCTATAGTTTTGTAAATAAGTTTGATAATTCTTCTAAGACAAACATTAATATTGTTTTTGGAAACATTTTCAGTTTTGTGTAAAAGTTCCTTATAACACACACAAAGAATTGTATACATTATTTAGTCTTCAATGTTACTGAATACTTAACGCGTTTGGAATAATCACACCTTCTATAGTAAGGCTAGAATACAATCATACCATAGAGTTTAAGACCGCGTGAATGCTCTTAACTTAAATTGAGCTAAATAATATCTAACACGTGACAAGAATAAAACAAGAATCGATAAATAATCGAAACATTACGGTAATGCATCCAATATAATGTTAATATATGTGCTGGAAAAACACATGATGTAGGCCCATGTGTTAAAAAAATATTTCACAGAACAAAATAAGTATAAATATAAATATTTGAAACAGAACAAGTGATAGAAAAGCACGCATAAATGGAAACAAAAACATGAAATATAGATTTGTCTACGAGATAAAACAACACAACACTGCCAGTCTAAAGCCAATTTATAGTTTGAACCGCGCATGCTCGTATTAAGGTCAACCGATATAAACGAACGTATACACACAACATAGGGTTATGTTTATTGACCGTGGATACCAGTGCTGTTCCTAGAGGAATGTAGGAAGCTCACTTTTAGTGTGCCATAGTTAATAATTATACGCATGAAAATATAAACATCCTGATATTTCTATAACCTGGCTTGATGCAACATATAATGCTCATGTGCCATCTAAACCCCTGTCCAGACTATAACATCTTATTTGACAAAAACACGTGATATGCCTAAATATGGTCATGATGACATCACATTATGATCATATATAGACACATCATGCCTGTATATGGGCATACAAACGATTTCGTCAAGAAAATGTGATAGTGTGAACAGAGCTTTAGAGCAAAGTATTTGAATGCGTTGCTGAGAATACGCATGCGCGTATGATATTCCAACCCTTGTCCTGTTTACAATATTCATATTTATATCATATTGTTTGGTAAATTGTTGGAATATTTTTTGAGTGAAACTGAAGAGATACAAGACACGAATTCAGAGAGAAATTTACTCCCGTATTTAGAGAATATTCCGTGCGTCTTTAAAGGATTGGAAAATAGTATAGAGATTGACTCATTATGTAGCTTGTGGGGGCGCCCATTGGTGCAATGAAATGAAGTTACCGGCCTCACCTCAACATACTCCATGCTTAGTCCAATAGGTACAGACATGTTAAATACTTCCATCCTCCCTGCCTCATTGTAGAATCGTTGAGAAAGTATTACAGTGTTTATATTGTCCTCTTTGTGCGCATGCTCGTAAACCATATCTCGATAATGTTTAACTATAATTGGACTAGAAAAACAATAACACTAACATTAATAACCACATAATTTGCAGTAGGCCTAAGAATGTGTGCTTACAAAATGAACCTATATGCTTCATTTTATTGTTTATTTATATATATATATATATATATATATATATATATATAATTATATATATTATTATTATATTTAATGGAAGTAGTCAAGTAATATATTTACATTGAAAAACTGATTATTTCTTTAAATCTGTATTATTGGATGTTTCACACTGACTAAGTTTATCTGTGTTATATAAGTAATCCTCATATGTCATTAGTGCTACTTCACATAAATTGTAGTGTGGGACTGTCACATTAACGCTTTATACAGTACTGACAACTCAACTTACTCTGGGTTGTTAGGTAATAACATCGCAAACGGATTGTTATATCTCGTAATTGACAACACTAAAATTTCTAAGAAAAGTAATAGAAACAATATAATGAGAAAACATTGGAATATCGTCATGCAATTAAATATCTTTAGTTCATTATTCGAGTAAAGAGAAACAAACATAATTACAAAACGTGCAGTCCATTTGGGACCAATAAATCACTATAACTCTCATAATCAGCTACGCCGAAGAGACATAAACCTGTCTCTACTGGCTATATTAAGTAATAATTTTCTTTACTAAAGGATTAATACAGATGTGATTCTTTGAATTACCGGCAATAACCCACATTAAACTATATAAGCACATCTCATAAAACGCCAGATGTAATTGTATTACGGCTATAATAACGAAAATGACCAATATAATGCTAAGATTGATAAAGCGCTTCATGTCAACAAGGCATCTAAGTGTTTCAAATCATTACCCCCCGGTCATTAGATCAAACGCAAATGGAACACATACTCGTGCTAATGTGCCGGCATGCCTCATTAGGAAATATGCAGACACATATATATCGATGATAGAAGAAGACGTAAAATAATAGTGAAAATCTATTCAATATAGCATTTATTCAATACTAACCTGATCCAGCATTATTAGTCCAATTGGTGAAAAAGTTAGATGGAAAGGAAGCGCACCCTTTTTTATCTGTCTTTGGGAACTGTATGCCTTTAAATTTTTGCATATTTTCCACAGAAATATGAAGAGCTACAAAATCATGAGAAAATAACGTTTATCAGTATTTTATGATCAATTTGATGAATACATTTACTAGTTACCAACTTCAGATTATCGTCATGAGAAATGTTATTTATACCATTCTTGATTTATGTGCATCTCTGAAGTAATAAAGTTGACTAACCAAGGGCTGAACAGTCATTGGCTGAAGTTTGTATCGTCAATTAATAATATTTCATATCGTGTAGTTGACTTCAGTACTTATACGTTATATCAAGTCCGATATTTTCATATTTACATATTTTACTTTTAGATTTACAACCAAGAATATGATTTTATATTAAGGATTTGAATGAAAATTGTGTTCATGGTTATAAAGAGATGATTACCAAAAACAACAGCTGTAGTAAGTAGCTGTAATTAATATATACTGTATAAAGTTTTGTGGCACTTCGTATTCTGAAAATGCGCGATACTAAAATATATGTGGCCATTTTTGTACAAATTCTTAATTTAAAAAACCGTATCATAAAGTTGTGCAACTTTCACGAACACTTTTAAAACTGTCAGGTGTCGGCAACTCATAGTATTAATACATAGTCCTATGTCTATATTGAACAATAGTAAGCATTGAGTAAATATTTGAATCTCTTATTTTGTGTACAGTTTGAAAATATGTATTAACTTTTAATTGAGAATTTAAATCATTAAAACAGATGCATATTATTCATTTTATATTCTGCACCATTTGCACATGGTTTTCGCTGGTACATTTCGCTTGTGTCCTTGAAGGCCGGTTCCCACTGAACGCGATCAAGCGAATTTCGCGTCGAAATGTGGCGCGCGCGGCTGAATCGAAGACGCGACTGGCGTTTCCAATGTGAACATGCAAACGAATTTGTAGTCGAACACGCATTCGAACTTTGACGCGGTGGTCGCGGAGGCTTCGCCTGCGAATTCACAAGAGTTGATCCAAGACCAACTTTTTCGGATTCGCGAGCGAATTCGCGGCCGATGGACCAATCGCAAGGCTTAAATTCAATTTATGTCAAAGGTCAACAATAAAGTCACGATCAGGAACATTGTCAAAACAATGTGCAGATTATGTGCCAACGATGACCGACGAGTCCGTTTCATGCAAACTCTGTGAAACAGTAGGCTACCCTTGTTTAGGTCTGTGACAAGGGAGCAAAGAAAATATGTGACAATGCGTGGAAAAGGATTTGCAGAGACGAGTTGAGTTGTCTCCTCTTTCTACCAGTATTAGGCCTGTCCAGCCTAGGCCTCTGATACCCTGCTACACCTGAGACCTACCGTAGGGTAGGCAGGCCTACTATCTACCCTTATGAGGCCTAGCTCTAGGCCTTGAATAAATATGAACTAAAAAACTATGTTTATATTCACTCTTTTGATTCATTATAGAGTTCTGGGAATGTTAATCCTGAGGATTTTATCTGATTTGTCTCACAGCCCTTTTCCTCCGTCTATCAATGCGATAACAAAATCACTTCTCTGTTGCCACCCGCCATTTCGAGTTTTTGCGCGCGGCCAGCAGTGGGAACAGGCAAGCGAATACTGTAATTGGAAGCGAGACATTCTTTACCGAAAGTCAACTCTTGTAAACTTTGCGCGATTCTCTTCGCTTGCCGCGTGACGCTCGACGCTTTCGCTTGACAAGTTTAGTGGGAACCGGCCTTGAGCAAGACACTTTATCATTGCTTCAGTCTACCCAGTTGTATCTGTGTACCAGCAAATTGCTGGGTACGATAACCTGCGGTGGACCAGCGTCCCACCCAGGGGGAGTACTACACGCTCATTTGCTTCATGCTACAGAAACTGGGGATAAGCTCCGGTCCTGTGAGCCGTAGTGGCTTGGCAAGGATTTACTTTACGCATGGTTTTAAAACAATTGAATTGATACCGTTGGTTTTTATAGCAGATACATATCTTCAAAATTGTAAAATTCTATCTGTAATATATAATTCGGCCTACATATGCATTATGCCGAAGGTCCTACGCGTCATCAAGGCATGACCAATTCTCATCAATGGATACTTGACGCGTCATTGAGGAATGCTTATAACGCGTCATCAATTAGTATTAATGCACACACCAACATTGGATTTCGACTCACCAAGATTTTTTTCTATAATTCTAATGATTTCTGCTTCACCGTTCGTTTCATTGTTGGTAGCAAAGTTAGCCAGTAAATTAGCTGCCCACAACTCCTGTAAACTATCCATCACATGAAGAACCTGTAAGGCCAACGTGCCACGTGGTTTGGTGGCGTCCCATGCTTCACGTCGAGAAGAGTCAATAATCTGACTCACGATTTTGACAGCAGTCTGCAGTTACACAATCATAAATCATGTATAAAATCGGATTGATATATATTTAACAAATATATATTACGCATATATAGACACATGGTAATAAAAAACAAAAACAAAAAAAAAAAACAATGGTGCTGTTCACACAAAAATGAACCCTCTTGGTAGTTTAAGTTTCTTATAAAGAAAAATAGCTCCATTCCCCAAATTCAGATTTTATCCATGGATTTTATCTGTACTATCGGCTGTCTTTTATACACATCT